ATATTACAAAGAAACAGCGACCTTCTAACACAAGAACTACTTTTCATGTCATACACTTAAAGGCGTAAATACGAGATTCGCGAAAGGAGAAGCCTTACGCCTCCTAAGACCAAATTCGTCGCGCTCAACGTTTAAAAAAAAACGGACAGAGCATAAAATATGCTCAAAGAATAAAGAATACCCAGAATACGGTTTTGAGAAACGTATCTCTGGAGTTATGTTATGCAGGTATACCTGAAAACGAAAAAAGTAGCACGCACAAATGAAAATATTACCTTTTGTAACACAATCTCATCAGGCTTTGCCAAACCTCAAGAAGACCAAGAACATACAGATGGAGAAATGACACCTTAAAACTAACCATTATTATCACATCGCAAACAAAAGTCAGTAAAAGATATCCTGATAACAGCTAAGCTTTCAGGTCAGAAGATTTAAGAGCGCTTGTCTGTAAAAATCAAACATATCGCGGCAAGGGTGGAAAATTCGATTTCTTTCATATTGTAATGTTAGATAGGCTAGACTATAACTAAAATCACTGCATACTTTTTTTGGCGAAATATCTTTTTATTTCAGAGAAAAATACAAATAACGAAATTCCGTTAAAATCGTCACTTTTAGCAGCAAATTATTGCACGAGTTTGAGGGCTTCGCGTGCAAAAACGAATCACTCTCATCTTTTAAACACTCAAATCCTCTTTTTCGATCTCATAAGACCTCACAAAATGATATTTGTAAACATTGCGCTCTTCTTTGCGCTTAAAATAATTTAATTTCGAAAGCATGCATTTCTCTTCAGTAAAAATACTTCGTGAATAAAATTAATTTTCACCATGTGCTAAACCTTCAAATGGATTAAGCTTTTGGTGGTTGAATTTCGAAAAAATGTTCTCGATATAACAAATGATTGAGAGCGATACAAATTATTTTACCTAGTTCCAGTCGCGAGTCACACATATTTTAATATGTTTCAATCAATATGAGGCCGAAAAATGTATGTAGAAACATATTTCCAAATGCTCTAACCTCATTTGCCGCAGAAGACCTATCCAGAGACCATTTTAGTGTGATTCTCTTGTCGTTCGTCGTATTTAGGTCTGTATAAATGATAACGTCCGATGAAACCACCAACCCTGTCGAACACCATCTTGTTGTCAAACGTTCGATATCTTTCTTCACTGTGGCATCTTATTCAACGGTTCAGTTGACTGTGAGTATTGCTCAGTTTACAATTCACTAAAAGATTACATCTGACAGTCTAATTACTGGGATACCTGTGGTAGCCCAGTCATAAAATGCCTTTGTTTTTTTGTCGTCTTTTTTTTCCTCCGCCACAAAATGGAAAAATTGCGCAATAGTACCCAGAGGTCATTGGGCCCTCAACACCATGACAACTAACTGTGATCCAATGAGGTGTTCACATGCTGATCACGCGTGTTATCCCTCAACACCATGACAACCAACTGTGATCCAATGAGGCGTTCACATGCTGATCACGTGTGTTATCTTGATGATGATTGACGTTGTCATGCACAGACAGGGTCGGGTCACATGACGAATCACGAGATTTTGCTTATAAAACTCTTTGGTCAATTGTGTTGTATTTCAACGTATTTGGATTGCGATTTCCTGGAGCTTTATGGCGCAAACGCGCAAAATACTTACAGACGCATATACAAGTCGTTTTAATCGCGGCTAATCCACACTGAAAGATGTTATTGAGCGGTAATTTTGGAACGGATTGAGTCGCGAACGCTTGAAAGCCTTGAATGCCTTGTACGCTAAGTATGCCAATGTCTTAGTTGAAAAACGTTCACTTGTTGTAAAAAGCAAAATATGAAATCTGAAACCAAACTGCATATACTCTGTGCAATCTATTGAACAACACTACTACCGTGAGACTGAAGAACATTACTATAATGGAGGCAAACTGCTTGTGAAGAAAGAAGACATGTTGCATTCACTTGATGGCAAGGAACGTAGCTACGATAACAATACGAATGGTATTAATTTCACGATCAGAAAGATGAATCTTATGTTTGTTTTCATTGTAGTTGCATGGATATTCTTTTCTAATAAATACGTGATCCAAAACCCTGTGTTTTTTGTGTATAATGTTATTATGTTAAATATTGTTTACGCAATTGTCTCGTCACAGGCAGCCCAAGCTCACGTCTCGAGAAAAAGATGAACGCGTCACGCGTTGTGTGACTCGGTGTTAAGTTACGACAGGAACTGCACGTTATAATGAATAGTATAGGGAACGAAGTATGGTTGATTTACAACGATACATATTTCGAAATATGAACATTTTTCTCGTAAAATCAATAAAACTTACTCATACCCTGTGTATCCGTTGTATTTTCTGGCGATTTCTGCCGTTTTAAGCTTGCTTTACCATCACTGGTATTCACGTCATCTACTTTAATTACGTTGGTAAAATCTGTACAGACTCACACCAACCAACTCGCGCACAAAGAAAGAAGACTATATTGAAGGCTTGAAATAATATTGCGATCGATTTTCATCAAGAAATGGGCCAGGAATATTCCACAATAGTGCAAATGATCGTGAAGGCGGATCGCAGAAAAGCGATTGCGTGACGCTCGGTAAGCTGTAAGATGACATGTTATTATATACCAGACGTAAAAACTCTTCAGATTCTTAGTCTGCATTTTGTACCCACTCTGCAGTCTGCAGTCTATATTTTGTATCCGGTCTGCAGTCTGCTGTCTGCATTTTGTAGTAACAGGTATCCGTGGCACCAATACAGTTTATTTTTGGTTATAATTTATTCGCAAAACACACATAATCTACCACAAAATACCTGTGAGTGAGGTAATTCGACATTTTCGTTCTTTCCCACATTAATATTCTTCTCTCCTTTTGTAAGAATGTAGACATCACTCACAATGTTTCAAGTAATCCACCCACCCTACAAAAAAGTAACTCTTGCATGTATAGCATGCCTATGTTTTGAAATAGGTGTATGCCCTTGGCCAGACTTGAGCGCGCTATTTCAGTATACTAGTCCGATACCCGTAGTATCACTACACTTGATTCCAAGGATCCAGTACCATCCAGGTATCCCAATTACCCTGCTCACAGGGTCTAGTTCAATGCTAAACTGAGTTGACTACAAACATGTACGCCCTTTGAGTATTTGGGTTGTCACGCAATACCGGTGACAAAGGAACTTTAGGGGGTAGGTGAGGGGCAAAACTCCATATAATTAAGCACCATCAGAATTGAACTCTTGGAACCTACAAAATATTTTATTCTGTAACCATTTTTGTAATAGTGTCATCTTTGTCTGATGACAAACATTTGTTATTCTTGTTTTTTTGACGCTCTGTGCCTTTCGTACTCGTTAGGGGTGTTTTTCTTTCCACTAAAATTGCAAGGAATACCCCGAATAGCATGAAAGAGAACCTTTTATTATTTTTACTGCACCATGCTACAAAATGCTTTAAAAACATCGATCAGATCTACTGCACCACAAACCGAACAACACTCACAGTCAACTGAACCGCTGGATAAGATGCCACAGTGCAGAAAGATGTCAAACGTTTTACAACGAAGGTTGGTGAAAGTTCGCAGATTGACAGGCAGTTTCATCGGACGTTATAAATACGACGAGCGACTAGATAACCACAGTAAAATGGTCTTTGGATGATGTGTACCCATGTACATTTTCTGGCCTCATATGGGTTGAAACATATTAAAATATGTGTAAGACTCACGACTGGAATGTTGACCGCGAAAGGTCAAATAACTGCATTTTGACGGACTTTGAAAAGCTTTTGTATCGCTCTCAATCATTTGCCCAAAGAAATTTTTACAGTAATATTGAGAACATCTTTTCGCAATTCTACCGCCAAAATCTTAATCCATTTGAAGGTTTAGTACATGCTGAAAATTAACTTTACTCACAAAGTACTTTTACTGAAGAGAAATGTGTGCTTTCGAATTTAAATTATTTTACACGCAAAGAGGAACGCAGTGTATACAAAAATCGTTTGGTGAGGTCTTATGAGGTTAAAAAAGAAGATTTGAGTGTTAAAAGACGAGATAGTGATTCGTTTTTGAACACGAAGCCCTCAAACTTGTGCAATAATTTGCTGCTAAAAATGACGATTTTAACGGAATTTTTTTATTTGCATTTTTCTCTGAAATAAAAGATATTTTGCCAAAAAAAGTATCCAGTGATGTTAGTTATAGTCTAGCCTATCTAATATTAAAATAAGAAAGAAATCGAATTTTTCACCCTTGCTGCGAAATTTAGAATATGTCTGATTTTTACAGACAAGCGCTCTTAAAAGCGCAAGAGAATGGCAGGAGTCGCACAAGCCTATCAACACCTTTTAACGATCGACTGCCTTTTGCTTTCCAGCTTAACCGGCGTGTCGCCGTGTGCATTGTAGAGTTATTCACTGGTTAAGTGACTCCTTTCACTACGCTAATTCAACTGTCCTTCCTTCAATGATCAAGAAAGTAGATTTATCATACAACACTCGTCATTAATTGTTTCCTTACTCGGAACTGATTAGATCAAGTGACCACCACAAACCGTATAATATTAAGCCAAGCTTTAATAATTATTCGATCTAAAAGAAATACATTTATAATTCGCAATTAGAACAAACGCAAATCAAGTCTTTATCTTGTAACTGAATTCAAAAACTTCAATATAAACTTACTTCTGTGGCGGGTCGTTACAACAGTCTCACTTTACGGGTTAGCAGATTCTCCAGGTAAGCGGATTTAGAGACAGAAAAACGATAACAAAATAACTTCTTTCTCACTTCGATTCTGCTGAAAAACTGACTTAAACATAATAATCTAACGCTTTTAAATCAATCTATTGAATTAATGTCAATCACGATTCTTGTCATCGAATAAATCTGTCAACACGAGGCAACGCCTATTTATTAAACGAAACATTCTCCGCCCCGATAAGGGCGTAGTCCTTATCCTTCTTGAAGTCAGCCTAATTTTATTTAGTCGTATCCCTCAGCAGGATATATAACAGCAATCTTGGTGACTGGGCGGCTGTATTCTCCGGCTGGTGTTTTTACTTTGACATTACGGACTCGGCCATCTGTCCCGGGATACACCTCGATTACTCTGCCGATGGTCCATTTACCTCGGATAGCATTGTTGTCCGCCATGACTACAATGTCATCGACTTGAACGTTTCGCCTTTCTGTATGCCATGCCTTCCTTATCACTAGCGCTGGCAGTACGTCTCTGCTCCAACGTTTCCAGAATGACTCCACAATTTTCTGCACAAATTCTACACGGCGTCGCGGGTTTTTCGTGTCTTGGAATGGGCCTTGAGGAACTTCCGGTGTTGCTCTTCCAAGAAGCATGTCGTTCGGGCATAAATATTTGCCGTCATCCGGGTCATTTGGAACACGGCCGATCGGGCGTTGATTAACGAGATTTCCGACTTCTAGCAGACATGTGTATAACTCGAACGGACTCAGAACCTGTTCTCCTATTGCCTTCTTCAAAGCACGCTTACAACTTTTGACGAGTGCCTCAGCACATCCGTTCTGATGAGGGGCAGCTGGAGCGGTGAACAGCCAGTTGATACTTCTTTCAGCGCAGAAATCACGGAGTTTGTCAGAATCTAAACCTTCGACCATTTCGCGCAATTCCCGCTCTGCGCCAACCATTTGTGACCCATTGTCGCTCAATAGCACTGCCGGGTATCCACGGATAGAGAAAAACCTTCTTAGCACCTGGATAAATTCCATTGTTGATAGGTCAACAGCTAGTTCCAGATGGACGGCTCTTGTGTTTAAGCACGTGAAGATGACGCCATAGTGCTTTCTTGTCTTGTTGCGCCCTATCTTCACATTGTATGGACCAAAGTAATCGCACGAGGAATAGTAGAACGGAGGCGTTTGCGGTGCTAAACGGAGAGCTGGCAGGTCTGCCATCAACTGCGTCTCTGCCTTGTGTGCTATTTCTCGACAAGAAACACATTTAAATTTCACAGCCTTACTGAGCTTATTCGCCTTCAAGATCCAGTATTTTCGTCTTATTTTTGCAGTCGTGGTTGCTACTCCAGGATGCCCATGGTTGTGCATATGGCTTGTAATCAACAGGGATATTCTGTGCTCATTGGGAAGCAGCACTGGGTGTTTTTCTTCGTAGGACACGATTGCTTTGTCAATCCTTCCTCCGACCCTGATGATCCCCTTGTCGTCTATAAATGGGCTTAATGTCTTGAAGTCTCCATTCTTCATTCGGCTCTTTAAATCCTTTTGAGCACTTTTGATCCATGACATCTCAGCCTTCTTTAACTCTTCAGGCATGAGAGGTCCTTCTCGTCCGCTGAGTGTGTTTCTTCTGAGGCGTATCTTCTCTGTTAATCGCCTTATCCACGCGGTAACTCGTATCAGTTTTCGCCAACTGGAGAAATTCTTCACATCGATTACATTTCCGACATCTGCAGGCGGGACTGTAGTGACAGCATTAACGTGGCGACGCTCCATATCTCCTTCTTGTTGCAGTGTAGCTGTTTGTACTGGCCATTGTTCCTCTGGCAGTTTTAGAAATTCCGGGCCGTTCATCCATCTACCCGTAAGCTGCTTTACATGCAATCCTCGCGAGACATCATCTGCTACGTTTTCTTCACCGGGAATGTGCTTCCACTGGCTTGGGTCCGAGTTATTCTGGATCTCCCCGATCCGTGCTGAGACAAACGGCTTGAAACTGCGGGAAGGACTTTGAATCCAGGCAAGTGTGATGCTGCTGTCAGTGAAGAATTTGACATCGGCGAATTGAATCGTACACTCTTTCACTATCGTTTTCGCGAGGCGGGAGGCGAGAACGGCTGCTTGTAATTCCAGGCGTGGAATTGTTAGTTGCTTTAGGGGTGCCACTCTAGACTTAGCGGCAACGAAGTTTACTTCATAGGTGCCTTGTTTCGTTTTCTGGCGGATGTACGCGCAGGCCCCAAATGCTTCTTGCGAGGCGTCTGAGAAGACACACAGTACTGGTAATTCTGGAGTTTCGGGTGGAATCAGACACCTCTTGAAACCAATCCGGTCAAGTTCCTTCATTTCCTTGAAGAGCTGGATCCACTTATCTTTTACATCATATGGAAGCTCATCGTCCCAGTGAAGACCAATCTGCCACAGTTCTTGTAAACCTATTTTGGCTCTGATGACGAATGCGGCAGCGAATCCAATGGGATCGTAGAAGCGGGCAACTTGACTGAGAAGAGTTCTCTTGGTCATCTTTACTCCACGGTCTACTGAATAATCTGTCAGGCACAGTAAATCCACTTTAACTTTGAAGCTGAACTCATCTGTAACATAATTCCAAATCACTCCAAGCACCTTTTCTTCAACTTCTTCCTGGAACATCTTGAACTCATTTTCCTGATTTTCTGTCTTGGTTAGAAGTTTGTTCGACGTCCAGCCCTTCACGCCAAACCCTCCACTGTCGAGTACTTTGTCTAGATCTCTTGTCAACTTCTGAGCTTGTGCTACAGTGTCTACAGAACCACAAATATCATCCATGTAGGAATTCTTTGTGAGCACCTCGGCTGCTTCTGGGTAGTCCTTCTTGTTTTCTTCAGCTGTTTTTCTTAACGCAATTTGAGCCATGGCAGGCGCTGGCTTATCACCAAACGTCAGGACTGTTTTTACGTACACATCAGGTTCTCTTTCCGTTTCCAAGTTTCTCCACAGGAACCGATGAACATGTTGATCCTCTTCCGGGATGCGTATACGGTGATACATTTTGGATATGTCACCCATCACTGCTACTTCTTTTTCTCTAAACCTCAAGATTACTCCAAACAGATTGTTCAACAAATCAGGCCCCTTAAGCCAATAATCATTCAGTGCGTGACCTTGATAGACTGAAGAGGAGTTGAAGACGATTCGTACGGGTGTGCTCTTCTTCTCAGGTCGAATAACGGCATGGTGTGGGATGTAATGCACCGGGCCTTTGTAATTATCCATTTCTTTTCTGGACAGCTTTCTTGAGAACTGCATCTCCTTCATTTCTTCCATCTGTTTGTCATAAGCCACTCCTTTTTCTGGGTCTTTCTTAAGGCGTCTCTCCGTACTTTCCAACCGTTTCATCGCCAATGGCTTATTATCCGGCAACAGCATGGGGTCTTTCTTCCAGGGGTAAGGTATCATCCACTGCTTGCCCACCTTTTCACACGACTTGGAAATTATTTCTGCTTCCTCTCTTTCGGCTTGCGTTAGCTTGTCAGCCTCACAAACACACGGTTTAACTTCTACTCCCATTGCCTCAGTCTTCCAAAAATCTGACATTTCTACCGGTGCAGCAAATCTTACAAGGTAGACGCGACCATTCACTTGTGTTTCTCCTGACGGTCCACCGAAAACTACCCATCCTAGAGGTGTTCTTCTTGCAACTAGCTGTCCAGTTTGCCTGGTCTGTCCAGTATGCATCTGGGCGTGGTCGATTCCTATTAGTAAATCGACAGGACCATTGCCTCTGCGTATCCTTTCGCTCTCCAGTCCAAGAAGCTTGGCGATCGGTCTAAGCTGGACTGCTGACACTTCCTCACTAATGCGCGGAATTCCAATTGCCTTGATTGAGAACATCTCGGTGTTGTCAATTGATGATACAGGAACTTTGTAAACTTTGGTCTTGATCGTCTCCTCTTCTCCTCCCACTTTCGTAAGTGTTACGGCGGTGTCGTTTCCTTTGAGTCCCAGTGCAGCTGCTGTTTCTTCGCGGATTAGGCTGATCTGCGCTCCCGAGTCAAGGAGAGTGTTGCTTTGCTTTTGGAACCCATTTTGACCGTAAATCTTGCATGTTACCACCGGCAAAAGAGTTTCATGTGGCTCGGAGAGTGACGCGACGCCAACTTTGACTGCGGTGCTCTTGTGAAGCAACGGGTGATGAAAATGCATGCATTCCCTTCCGTTCTCGGTTTTCGTACACTTTCTACGTCTCCTACAGTTGTCAACTCGGTGTTCTCTTCCGGCTGCTTTCATGCAACTAAAGCACACATGGTTTTCTTTGGCGACTTTTATACGTTGGTCGATACCGAGGGCAGCGAATTTAGGGCATGTATCTGGCCAATGGGACGAGTTTTTACAGTACCAGCATTTGTACCACTTCTGGTTGGGAGCTTCGACTTGCAAGGCATAGACTGATCTGCTAGATCTCAATGGAGCAGTAGCACGCATACGTGATTTCATCTCTACGTCCATCCACTTCATCAGTCGCTCTAAAGTTGCTTTTTCTCCCTGACGCTCCAAGTCTCGTGACCAAACCTTTCGATCATCCGAACACATTTTTTGCTCAATGATAGATAGCATGTGACTGTTGTCCATGTCATTTTGACTTCCGACCTCCTTCAGAGTGTTGAAGCTTCGTTTAACCAAATGGACTAAGTCGCAAAATCTTGCATCTTCTCCTGGTTGCAGAGCTCTAAACTTTACTATGTCTTGCGTGATGGTGTCGGACACGAACCTTGGATCTCCGTAAATAGAGTCCAAATAATCCCACGCTGCCTTATAGTCCGAACCTATCCCTTTGATTAACTCTAATGGTTTATCTTGCAGACATGTGCGAAGAAAAGTTATTGCATCTCTTTTGCTGTATTTCGATTCTATCGCATGCTTAAAATCGGCGCGAAAAATGGCATAATCTCTTACGTCTCCGGTAAATTTAGGCATCTTTGGCTTTTCCATCTTAAAACCACAGGCGCCGGTTGTAGCATTGGGGTTTACTTCATGTCCGGAAACAACGGATGTGCCTTCATGGTCTGGTGTGAAATTATCATTACCGGAACTTGTACTTTGATGGGTGCTAATTGGATTGATTGGATGATCATTATCGCCGGAACTTACACTAAGGGCGTCTTCTTCTATTTGCATATTCAGAATTCCACTACTTCCCGGCTCACCAACACCACTATTTTTCGTTTTAGATGCTGTAGATGTATGATTAGTTTTCATCGGGGCCTTTTCCTTACTGAAGAAAGAATCCAAATATATTTTTGCGTCCATTTCCATTGACATAAAGTCTTCTTGGCATTCCCCCATCCATCCCTCTTGCACTTCGAACTCAGTGTCATCTTCGATTAAACGCGAATAATTTTCATGCTTCGCCACAAGATTGTCAAAGGCTAACTGCAGTTTACTTAGACCATCTCTTACCTCTTGCTCTGGTCTTTTCGCTTCTATTAACTTCGCTAAGGACTTTCCACAGCGTGTGAGCGTTCCTTTGGCAGTCCTCCGATCAGTTTTGGCAGTTTTCAGGGCCTCCTCCGCCATGTGCTCAGGATTGCGTAGTTCTTCGTTACAACCCAGAAATCGAATGTAATGTTTCCTTACTCGGAACTGATTAGATCAAGTGACCACCACAAACCGTATAATATTAAGCCAAGCTTTAATAATTATTCGATCTAAAAGAAATACATTTATAATTCGCAATTAGAACAAACGCAAATCAAGTCTTTATCTTGTAACTGAATTCAAAAACTTCAATATAAACTTACTTCTGTGGCGGGTCGTTACAACAGTCTCACTTTACGGGTTAGCAGATTCTCCAGGTAAGCGGATTTAGAGACAGAAAAACGATAACAAAATAACTTCTTTCTCACTTCGATTCTGCTGAAAAACTGACTTGAAACTTGAATAATAATCTAACGCTTTTAAATCAATCTATTGAATTAATGTCAATCACGATTCTTGTCATCGAATAAATCTGTCAACACGAGGCAACGCCTATTTATTAAACGAAACATTAATAAATGTCCTTTTACTTAGGAAAGTAGATTTACAACACAATTGAGTATACGATGGTAACGCTGGGTAACGCAACAATAGGCCTCTTATCGGCCATAATCGGTCTCAAATAGTATCACTTAAAATGCGAGAAACACATGTACCGTTGGAGAGTGTTTGGTCAGAGCTGTTGAAGAAGGATCAAAGCGGCCATCCAAATATTTGAAAGGCTCCAAAGTACGACGTACATCAAATTTGACCTTCTCGAAAACCGGTCTCAAATTACATTTAAAAAAAACAGTGATTTCGTTTGTCCTTGAGAACCATAGAATACGCGACAAAAAAAGTACAAAAAAATACTTTTGCACACTCAGAATAAATAAAATTACATTTACCTATGGTAAAAGGAAAAAGGAACGGCCTAACTTTAACGGAATGTTCAGTCAAAATCTGCCGATTTTTGCTACTTTCACCGCCATATTGAAAATGAAGCTACCACAATGCAACGCAATCGGAGTGCGCACACCGCCTGGCCCCTAACCCTCACGACACCACATCATTCTTGGAGTACACTGGTGCCATACACTCTAACTCCAAATTAAACATGGCCAGTCGGATAAACGATCGCGAGCCTAGTTACGATGATTTTAAAGTTCTCTTACATAAAGATAAGTTACGTTCTTCTCTTCTTCCGCTGGCGTAGAGGACCGTCTGCTCTGCTATTGCAATGTTTACCCCGTGGCGACCCCACAAACTTTTGTAAAAGGTGGAGCAAGTGGATAACAAGTTGCCAACGGATTATTGGGGATGGAGCGGAGGAGTGTCGGTTTGTGGACATACTCCCTGACGTTGGAAAAAAAAACCCTCGTATCGAAACCCTTTCAAGACATTTTCGTACAGAGCATTCATTGTAAGCCATAAGTTCACATTGATGTATTTTCAGTGTTTTTATAATAATCTCTTACAATTTGCTTTAAAAGAAGAATGTCACTCTCCCTCCTTCAATTATTTTACAAATTATGAAGTAACACCAGGAGCCCATCACTTGGTGACACTAGTGCAGTTTCTCTAAATAATCAGAATTTCAGATCGATACAGCAGACACAAGTCAGCTCAGCTTAAAGAACCAGCATATTTGAATGGTCTCTATATGTCGTCATTAGCCTCTATGATGGAGTGTTGGTTTGTTGATGTATCATGGTGAGAGTATCGTAAGTAGAGTTCTTTCACCTTTTTTTCAAGTAAGAAAGTTATGCCTTTACAACTGAATGATTTTACAGTGTCCTGAAATTATCCCTTCTTCTCTGATCTCATCACAATTCACGAGCTTCCAATCTACACATAGTCAGTCCTGTTATTTCAACAAATCTCTAATTTCTACCACGAAAATAGTCAGAACTTTTCGAAGGAATATTAACCTTTCTTACCTGTAATTTTTACATTTTAGCAAATTAAAATCATTTCCGCATAGAATAACTAAACTACAGCCTCTAGATAATTTTCAACTTTCACCTACAATTCCGTCAGAAAACTTAAAACACAGAACGAAACAACGCCACTACTGCCTTGTTCTGTGCTACCTCAGATATTTACAATTTTATTATTGATTATATTTGACAGCTCGCGGACGCAACTGTCTGGCAATGATGGTTCTTGTGGAATCTTGCTCTGTTTTCACCTCACGACATCCCTAAAAGTATTGGAAGATCAAAATACATTCAGATGCATGAACAATCGGTAAGTCCAACAAGACATGTCTCTGCGTGTACTCAGTCTCCCGTAGTGGCAAATAATATTTAGGCAGAGTCTTCACACGCTTTTCACACATATTTCAGGCGAAAACGCCATGTACATGCGAAATTCGCCAAACACGAAAAGAAGAGAAAGGCAGTTCAAAGCAAGTAAGAAGCATTTGACTTGCTTTTTAACTAGTTCTTGGGACCTAAATAGGAAAGCTCGGAATCTCGCCAGCACACGAGATCCTCGACGGAAATTTGTGGCTGGATGGGAATATGAAACCCCAAATTTTCCAATCAGGCCTCGTATAGAGCGCCTGAGCGTTTTCAGACTAGAGAATGTGCCTCACGAAGAGTATAGAACACTGTACCTGTTTTGCCGGAGACAAGAGAGCTGTCATCGCAGAAGGTTTCTTGAACAATTTCTTTCCCTTTTTCGCGGAGGATTGAGTCAATTTTGGTGGAACATTTTCTGCTTCTTCATTTGATTGCGATGAGTACTTGTCACTGTCTTCAACTGGAAAAGACATATACAATTCAGAGGTTTACAATTAAGAGGCACGCCTTGTCGACGTGAACGACTTTTGGATATGTCCATAGATCGATATTACGTCATTACTCAACAAAACTACACACCTGCAGTATTTTCTTGCAATTCTTTAAAGAGTTTTTTCTTTTTTGCTTCTACTTTGGGTGGCTCTGTCTCGTTCTGCAAAGATTTTCAAATTAAGCATTAAATGGGCGCTCGAGCAGAGCAACTCAGAATTCACAACTCCAATATCTATTGATAATTTCTTTATTTAACAAACTGATGCGTGCTAATCAGGTGTCAGAAAGAGATCATCTTACCACTAACGACTCTTTTACTGGTAAAGTCGTTGACTTTGTTGCGGGTGTCGTCTGTTTGTTTCTCACAGATTGTCTTGTGCCCGGGCGACTTCGTCTACGAAGAAATAAAAGAACTGATTAACTTATGAGTGAACTTTTAAAACCGGTGTAGGGGAGGAGAATTGTTAATCTGCATGAATTGGTTTAGGGCGGTAGCCAACAACAAATCAAACCAAGCGAATACCTTAGGATTTTTCAAGTTAGTACAATAGCGATTGAACTGTTTCTCTCTTAAATTGATTTTTTTTGTCCCAAGGCATGAAAGCCAGTCAGTGTGTATGAGTGTGTGCTCACGTTTTCCTTGAAGAGCCCGGAGTAAAGTCCTCGTCACTGTCGTCTGTTTTTTGTACCTTCGTCCATTTGGTTTTGAGCTGAAACAGAGCAAGGAACGCAAAGGGTTACATATATGGTGTCAGAACAGAAAGCACCCTTAAGGAGAAAGAGCTGTTGATTTATGTTTTTGTCTCCAAACGTGACTGTGCTGTTCCACTTTTGTCCTCCGACAAGATGAATTTTTACGTAAAAAATAACCAAAAGAAAAGACATTATACACGCAATTCAAGTCATCAAGGACTTGAATAGTTACATAAAATTTAAGGTTAAATCCACACTTCTTCCTACCAGAGACGCGCTGAGTAAAAAAAAAATGATTTGATTATATTCCTCTTAACCTATTCCATGAAATGTTTAGTTGATATTTTTGTCAAATGTCGGAGTCAGGAAATTGTTATGATAAGCTTCATGCCAACATTACACCAAGAGTGAACTGGCTCGTAAGGATTTACCTGAGACAATGGGATGTCACTGCTGTTCCTCTTCAAGGGTTTCTTCGCTGATCTTGAACAAGACGTTGTCGAATCCGCCTTGTCAGCTACATCAGGGTCCTAATAAAACAAACAAACAAACAAACAAACAACTAAACAAATAGACGGTGATAAGGTCTTGCTAGCAGCTCCTCAGGTCGAAATTGTGAAACGACTTTAAACTAAGAATAATATCGAACTTATGTAATGTCCCTCTTCTTCAGAAAAGTTTAAAGCAGGATAAGTAACAGATGAGCGATAGACAAAAATGAGAATACTTCATTTAATTTCGAACACCCGCAGCTCTACTAACACTGATCTGTGTCATCAGGGGTATAAAATGAAACCCATAAGCGTTATTCTCACCGAAGTAGAGGAATCTGTTTTTGAAGAATCACTTCTTTCGGCAGCGAGTTCTCTTTCCACGCTTTCTTTTTCATGTTTAATCTCCTCTATACTCCTATCCTTGTCGTCAAGCTGTCTCTGGTAATCCCGTTTCGTTTTCCGCAGTTCCTCTTCCATCTCTCTTCTCAAATCCTGCCTACACTGCTCGCGGATTGTGGATAGTTTGATCTCATACTCTGCCTTTTTGGCGTTAGCCACCTCTAATGTTTGACGCATGGTTTTCATGATGTTGTCTCTTGAATCGTTCATTTTGCTTATTTCCTCGTCTTTCTTTACCAGCTTTTCCTCAAGAGTTGCACGTTCTTTCTGCAACATGGCTATTTCCTTCTCCATGTTCTGCATCCGCTCGAAGATGTTTCGCTCATTAGCCTCGCTCTTATTGGACATATCTTTCATAGCATCGCTAGCAGCCGTCGCTTTCTTCTTCAAGCTGGTTATTTCCCCCTTCTTTATGTCCAGTTCCTTAGTTGCTAACTCACACTTTTCTTGCCAAGTTTGCAGTTCTATGGAGAGAGTTTCCAATTCATCCTGTCTTTCTTCAAGTGCCTGTCCTTGTTCAGCTAATAATACATCTTGTTCCTCTAAAACTTTTTTCAGGTTGGCAATCACGTCTTTGTCCTTTCCCGCATCTACGGAGAACAAGAGCATGATTTCGCAACACGTTTGAGAATTGCTATATGTTGAACACATGATGTCTCTCTCTTTCTTTTTTTCCCTTTGCATCAAAACTTGTCCCCAAGACCACTAGCCACAGCTAAAACCCGAAAAACTCTTTTCAGTTCAACTGCAATATTATGGCATGCATATTTAGCAGACGTCTTAATTTGACTTGCTATTATCTTAACTCTTGCTGACCAAACAGGCATTACAATCTGTGTGGTCGCTTAAGGAATTCTTTACTGTATGCAATCAGTACAACTCGACATAATTTTTGCGACAGGCATACTCTAGCCATTACAAACCATACCCAGCGATCAATCACTCAGAATCCTTTCATACAAACGATATCATCGAGACAACGAAACTGTTTCAGCGGCTACCTGACGAGAATAGACGCAGATTTCCTTCCATGGAACTCTTTTCGTCATTCAGTGTTTTCACTTTGTCTGTAAGTGTCCTGATCTGTTCTCGGGATTTTTCATTTTCAATTGATGCTTTCCTAACATTTTGTTCCAGTTCGTCGATCGATTTGTTCCTGTCTTCGACGGTCTTTTGCATGGACATCATCTCCTTCCACACCTATAGATCAACATGGAAAGACACGAGGAAAAAAATGAAAAGCAGAGTATATTTGATATCACGAAGCCGACAAAGTCAACAATACTGAAGTCTCTCTATGGCCAAAGGAAAATCTGAGCAGTATCTCAGCCACACGAACGGAGTAGTAAAAGCTGAAAGCCAGCCAGTCTTTAGTACAAAATTGAAAATGTGCTGGGACTTTGCCAAGTTGACAAGTGAGAGCAAGCACTTGCTATCCGGCAAGGGAACCTGGAGTGAGCCAAACTAGCGGTTTTTCGACGGTCAGAATCTGTGTGAAGAGCCCTACCTTGTCCAATTCTTGGAACTTTTGTTGATCAATCATCTTTATTTTTTCCCTCAGCTCTTCGATTTCTTTCACTTTCTCTTCAATTTCCTCGTTTCTTTTTTTCAGTCTCGCGTTCGCCTCATTCGTCTCCTGTTCCAGCTTTACTTCGGCTTCCTGAAACGAAAAAAAATTTATAACAAGTATTTACTTTAAATACTGAAGAAACAATTCTGACGATTAGAAAAGTTGTCGTTGAAAGTCTAATGAAACCAAATCACTTAACTTTAAATTGTCTTAAAATGAATAAAAAGTGCGGTCGTCATTTGATATCCCGAGAACAGGCCCTACGTCATTGGTACTTCGGCGCAGGGTTGTAGATAAGAGCCGGCAGCCGGCCAAGAACGCCGGCTTCCCTGCAAGGTTTCGCCGGCTACTTTCATTGCTTCCAGAGCCCGTACAGAGATGAAGTTTATCAAATCTAAGCTTGGGCTCAATAAAAATATAAATTTACACAGCCTATCTTTTCTGAAAACATAAATAGACTTCTGACTCAAGGTTAGTTTAAAAACTGTCTGATGGGGACTTTTTTTTTGTCAAATCTGGCTGCGGTGGCAGGAAAGTACGAACGATATGACGTTTTGTCCGCCATATTGGATTTGCATGCCCCCGACCCCCCTAGAAACAATGGGCTAAAGCCCATCGTATGGGTCCTTCGGACCCACAACCGGTTACCTTTACAAAAGCTCCAGCTACTTAAAACCTCAAAGAAAACTCTGGCTTCGGCTCGAACGTTTTTTTTTGTCCATGAGAAAGTACGAGGCCTTAAACAACGCGAGCACTGATATTATTAGTGCCAGACCCCCGAAAAACCCCTTCCGACTCGTCTCAAATCTTCTTGTTGGTACAAAACGCGCATCCTGAAGCACAAATAATGAATGCCTTCTAGCAAGCTAGTCGTTTGGTATAGTAGAAATACTTCACCTGACGTAAAATAACTTCAAGGCCGCAATTGAAAGATATTTAAGTCGTGGAAACAGTTTTATGCCACTGTGGTATATTATAGCTAATTCCATGGTTAGCTGTAAAAGCTCAAAGTGTGTGATATAGCCACATTAATAGTCAACAATACACTAATCACTATTCATACCTTAATCCTCTCATCACTGCGTGCCATTCCTTCCTCGAGGAATCTCACTTTATGTTCAAGATCTGGTACAACTTGGTTTTTATATCTTTGAATTTCAGTTTGCAGTCGTGAAGTTGTTTCGTTCGCAGCAGAAAGTTCATCTTTTAGTTCATGAACTTTTCCATCCATAGAAGCTAGACGCTTTTTCTTTTCATCTAACTCATTCGCTGACGCACTTCGTGCATTACACATTTCTTTACTCGCCTCTTCAACAGCTTTCTCTTTTTCCAACACGTTTCTCTTCTCATTTTCCAGCTGCGTTTGTAAACAAGCATTCTTTAGCTGCTGAGAATTCAACTTTTCTTCCAAAGACTGAATGCGTTCGTCTTTCTTCTTCGTTTCTTCTTTTTCTACATCGATTTCCGCCCTTACTTCTTGTAGTTCCTCGAGAAATTTGGCGGATTTCTCATCGTACTCTCTCTTTAACCTCTCAAGTTCCAGCCTAGTTTCTTCAAGTGTCACGTTCTTTTTAGCCATCATATCCTTACTCTCCTCTCTCTCTTTATCAGCTTGGACAAGTCGTCTTCTTAACGTTTTCAATTCTTCCTTAGTTTTCAGATTATTTTCCTTGGGTAGCTTTTCCATTTCGGACAGATGCTTCTCTTTCTCTGCTAGGGACATTTCGAGGCGTTTAATGGTGTTATTTCTGGCAATAACCTGACTGTTTTTCTTGTCCAGCGCTTTTGTGGATTCTTCCAACTGTTTTTCCAATTCTTTCAAACTATCTTCACTATGAAGTTTCTTCATTTCTTTTTTACACTCTACCAACTCCGATTCCAGTTCATTTATCCTTCTCCTGCTCTCACTCTTGACGCTCTTCAATTCTGCATCTTTTTCCTCGATTTCCTTTTCCACCCTTTTAGTTCTAACTTCTTGCTTTTCAATGTCTTGGGCACTTTCTTTGCTCAAGTCTTCAGGACCTTCTGCCTGGTAAACGTCGCATTCTTTCTTGGACAAAACTGCGATCTCTTCTTCAAGAGCTTTCTTGGCATTCTTCAATTCCGCTGTCGTCTTTAAATTCTCCTCCTGAATGTTCTTCAGTTGTGTCTCCTTTTCTGTAACTCGTTTCTTCATGTCGTCCAGTGCAGCCATTTTATCACAAATATCTTTCTTAGCGTCATCCAATTCTGTCACTTTTTCGCCAAACTCCTTCTTCATCAACTCAAGTTGAGATTCTTTTTCTTTGCACTCGCCTTTCAATGTTTCTAGTTCAGCTTTGGCATGGTACATCTCTCCTTTAGCTGCTTCAAGTTGCTTTGCCAAAACAGCCATCTCGGTGGCCATAATGTTGTCTGTCTCCTCGGCCTGGGTATTTCTTTTTGCTTGTGAATCCTCAATAACCTGATTTAGAGACGATATCTCCTTCTCCAGCTCCTTACAGCGTTCTTCTGCTTTCTGCAGCTCGTCTTTAATTCTTATTAGTTCTTCGTCGTTGTCGAATGCTTGAGCGACATAACTTTTCTCACGGGCTAATTCTTCTCTTGTCTCCTCCAATGTCCTCACTAATTCTTTCATCATTGTGTTATTTGTCTCTAACTGATGCTCTGTGTTTGAAAGTTTGGCCAAGGCAGCGTCCAGGGCACCTTGTGTCCGCAAAAGCTCAGCGGAATTTTCCGTCTTCTTAGGCGCTTCCTTCTCCTTCTGTAGCTCATTTGTGAGATGTTGTAAGGTTGCGTCCTGTATTTGGTATAAACAAAATGCAGGGGAGTCAGTCTGGTTAACTCAAGTGATTCAAGACATACACGCAGCGCGCCAGAGAAAACGGAAAGTGTGAGATATGTGAGCTTGGATATACTTTATGGACTTCAATGTCAACATAATGAACTTAACGTGTTTTTCAGTCATTTTGGATACCATACGCGTGGTCAATTTTTGGGAAAACTAGGATCAAACTACACCTTCGAAATAAATGAATAAACGAAACTAGAAAGGCATGGACGGTGACTGGATACCAAGGAGAATCACCGAACTACTACACATCCATATGCCTTCCATCTTTCACCGTAATTTGTTTAAGAGGTAGGCTATCAAGGAACGTTGAGCTTAGAGGTCGTCAACTTAATTGTTAGCAAATTTCAGAAAAGGAATAGTGTCTGTTCTTGTCAGTCATTGTCACGAACGTTTGCTTTCAAACACTCCAAGTTCCACAACAAAGTTAATCAAATTTTCTTGCAAAGTGGGCCTGATAAGTCAGATTGTCAAATCAAATTCAATCATCATTTCTTTGACTACAGTAACCTAGTCATGGTGAAAACGCTCGGTTTCTGTATCATGTCACAATTCAGAATATTTTTTGATGCTTTCACTTCACTTAACTTCGTTTTAGCGCCACTCTTTTAATATTTCCACATAACTCCTAGTTTACATCTGGTGAGTTAAAACGGGGTAAACCCTACTCCTAAGTTTAGAAAAAATCTACCCTCCCTACCCCTGGAAAATTTCTTCTCCAGGTGTTTCTCCGCTTTTTAGAGACAACTTGATCCCAGGGCGCACAAAAGTAGACTGCCGCCGCCGCATGAGAAACGACACGAACACCACTAAATATACGTAATCACTCGTTTATTGATTACAGGTTCAGGAGCACCAAATAAACGATGACTTCATGAAACAACTACTATGAGGCATTATTTTGTGCAGCCACTACCGAGGGGTGGAGACTCCGTAGCCAGGTGATTGCAAATTGTATTTTGTCTTGTAAGCTATTAAATGTTTCGTCAGCTTTTATCTGCTTCAAACTTGGAACACATCCATATATTCAGCGCCTTACACCCCATACAAATTCAAATTCTGGTCGTCAAGAGTTATTTTTCAGTCACATTGACGACCAGTTGGTCGCAGTTTCAGACCTTGAATTTGACTTTTTGTTTTCGTTTGAAGAATGATGGATATGATTGCGAGTTTTCGTCTGGTACTTTACAGTGTACAGGGTAGTGAGGTGTAATTTGAAAAACGTCAAGTGGTGTACTTTTGTGTAAGAAATTGCGTACAAAGTTACGTACAGAATGTTAAACAGAACAGTTCGTGTAATTGGTAATGTCGAGTTCTATCGCCTCGAACGCACCTGTTTTTTAATGCAAGCTTCCTGTTCATCAAGCGCTGCTTTCAGTTTACTGATCTCTGCTTCCTTCTCAGAGAATGCTTCGCCAGCCTCCTCAAGCATCTGTTTAAGTTCTGCAGCTTCCTCGTTGGCGTGATTCAAGTGAGCCTGCAATTCCAAAACTGCCTGTGAGGTCGCTGCTTCTTCTTGTTTGTTTTCTTTTAGTTGTTTGATTTCCTGGCGCAACTCAGCAATCTGTGCGTTCAGTCCACCAATGAGTTGCTGCTGCTCCTGAAAAACGAAGCACAGATTTCTTGATTACAAACCAAAATTGTGAAAAGAAATTACGACTTAAATCAATTACAAATATTTTGCCTTGAGAATGCTGTCCCAGTGGTGTGAGACGAAAGAGAAGTTCGAAGACCATGCAAACTTTGTTGTATGTCTCTCTCCATCCGTGAGTATAAATGGGATCTGAGGAAATGGCTAGGAAATCTGAGGAAATAGTGCGGGTTAGCGGTGATGAAAAAAAAAAACTTCCCATCTGGACGGAGTAGCAAAGCTTGTTGCGTTATGCGACAAGATCTGAGACAGCTCAGCTTTACTGTCTAAAAGCATGATCATTCTGTCACTTAAGTATTCCGTTATTCCATCAACTTACTCACCCGAACTTTAGTCTGCTCTGTATGTAAAAACACACTTGGCACCCATTCCTCGTCTTCCTCTTCTATTCGTTCGACCCGAGCTCTTTTTCTAGATATTTTGACGGACTGCGTCAGCAATTCGATCCTGCGATCACACTTCTCCTCAACAGCGGTTACTTCCATTTTAACACGTTGACTGAAATTTGAGAGCGAATTGCGCGGTTTCTACATTGTTCAGCAATTATCACACCTCTATATTGACTGAAAGTTAACACACAGCTTAGATGAAACTCAGAAGCATTTCACTTCTACATTTTTAAGAACGTTATGTCTCACAAATGTGTGTGATTTTAAGGTTTGGATGATAATAGAGCAACAAACTAGGGGGACTGATATTACTACTGTTCTTTGCTTATTACCTGTAGGCTTTCTCGATGGAAACAAGCTGTTCAGCCATTTCCTTGCACACTTCCTCTCGTATCTTTACTTCCAGTGTCTGCATCTTACGCTTCTCTTCGATCAGTTGTTCTTGGAGAACTTTAACCAAGTCCACAAGTTGCTAAATGTGACAAAATCGATAGAAAAGTAAGATATGACAGCATAACAGACTAAAGCCCTAGCTGATGTTAATTAACACCATCCCATTCCACTGACTTGGTTTTTACTTTTGTGATTTTGTGCATTTAG